CCCCCACCAGCCCTCAATCCCCTACCAAAAGAAAGATTTGAACCCAGTCCTTACAGTGAAGACATCAGACTCCTCTCCGTTGATGTGGAAGCCTACAAACATCATGCCCTTTCTGTCCATATCGGCAGGCAGGGTGCGGTTCAGGGTGTAGGTGGCCTGCTGTTGGCAGTTGTGGATCAGGGTCACAGACTTCCCCTTCACGCTCAGAGCAACGCGGTGCCAGCTGTGGGAACACGATTGATTGCATGATTGATTGATTGAGGGTAAGATTGATTGTAGGATTGATTGAATGATCGATTATTTGATTTAGAATGTTTGTACCACAATCAGGGTCACAGACTTCCCCTTCACGCTCAGAGCAACGCGGTGCCAGCTGTGGGAACACACATATGATTGATTGAGTGGTTGATTGATTGAGGGTAAGATTGATTGTAGGATTGATTGAATGATTGATTATTTGATTTAGAAAGTTTGTACCACAATCAGGGTCACTGACTTTCCCTTCACGCTCAGAGCAACGCGGTGCCAGCTGTGGGGACATGAACAGATGATTGATTGAATGATTGACTGTATGATTGATGGTAAGATTGAGGGTAGGATTGATTGTTTGATTGTACCACTATCAGGGTCAGTGACTTCCCCTTGACGCTCAGAGCAACGTGGGCCCATGAGCGTGTTTTGGTTGCTGGGTCTCTGGGGAAAGTGTGTCATGAACTTTCCCCCCATTGTCTGGGCTGGCAGAGAACGAGCCCTCTCTAACAACAGTTTCCGAGGACTCTCGTTTGTTTGTTTCTTTTCCCTTTTTTCATGAAGAGTTTCATTGAGAAAGGACCTGGGAATGTGCTCATCCTTTGCTGAGCCCTAAACACATTTGTGAGGCAACGTGGTGAAATCAGGCGCTCGTTAAAATAATGAAATTGAGGAAACTGGCATTTTTCTGTTCATTTGGCAATTTTTATTTAATTTTTGTATTTTGACGCAACATCTTTTAGGTCCATTTAAAATCACCTTTCTGTGTGGATATTACTGAAAAATGCTGATTTAAGGCACTGTATATAGATATGCAGTTTCCAAAGACTCTCAAGCTTTGCAAGTTGCCAAACTTTGGCGGCCAATTTCTCACTAATGCTACCTCTGAAACAGACGACCCCCCGGTCCTTCAATTGCAAATATCTCTACTTCTATTCATGATATATGTGTAGTTTCTTCTCCGAAAGTGAGACAACTGAAAAAAAGCTTTAAAATGATACCAATAAATCCACATGTCCAAAAATTGACGATTGCCTGATTCCACCAAGTCGTGACACATAATTATTATTATAGTAGTATGTGTCATATGACCTTAGCAGTTGCAAGCGCCGTAAAACCCTATACTAATAATAAT